TTTTTTGTCTCAGTTTGTGGCCATTTTGAGTCCCATTGTGGTTATTTTGCAACCTTTTGTGGTTCTTATATGTACCGTTGAGTATCTCTTTGTGGTAATTTTGCTTCTAGTTGCTGTCATTGTGCATCCCTTTGGGATTTTTTTTTGTTTCTTTTTATGGTCTCTCAGTGATTGTTTTGCATCTATTTGTGGTTATTTTCATTCTCTTCATGCCATTTTGCATCCTGTTGAGGTTATTTTTCGTCTGTGGTGCTTTTGTGTCCCTTTGTGGATGTTTTGTTTCACTTTGTAGTAATTTTGCTTCCCTTTATGTCTGTTTCTGCAGTCGTTTTGCAGCTCTTTGTAGTAGTTTGTTGTTGTTTCTCATTTCTTTGAGGCCATTTTGAGCCTTTTTGTGTTTTTATCTCAATTTTGCTGTTCTCTCTCTCTCTCTGAGGTCTTTTTACACCTATTTGTGGAATCTTTATGTTTCGATCTGGTCATTTTTAATCTCTTTGGGTTCATTTTGCGTCCCTTTGTGGGGTTTGTTTTGTACATTTTGTGTGCCTTCGTGGTTGTTTTGCATCTCCTTGAAGCCATTCTGCATCCCTGTTTGGTCGTTTTGCATCTCTTTGAGGTCATTTTGCGTCTCTTTTAGATCACTTTGTGGTCTTTTGCGGTTGTTTTGCATCTTTTTGGTGCATTTGGTGCCCATTGGTGGATATTTGACATATTTTTTAGGTTATTTTGTGGTCACGTGTGATTGTTTTGCATCTATTTCAAGTCATGTTGTGACTCTTTGCAGATGGTTGCATCTCTTTGAGGTTAATTTTATTCCTCTATGTTCATTTTTGATCCATTTTCAGTCATTTTGTTCCTTTTGGGGGCGCTGCACCCCCGGGCCTCCCCTCTGCTCTCGGCCCTGCTCGCAGGATAAATGAAGTCTGCGATTCACCCGAATGTACTGAGCAAATCCAGAGGATTATCTCCAGATGAGGCTGAAATGTAATGGGTCTCCATGCTGAGCCTCATGAATTTGAACCCCAAATTCTATTAGAACTATCATTAATAGTTTCGCTATCAGGCTCCCGTTTTTATTTTACTCCTGTAGGGACGAGAACAGTGTGGAAGAAATGCAAAGGAAAGCATTGAAGAAGCTGTATTTTGATTTATCCACACAGGAGAACGTTTATTAGCTGCCTTCTGCTGTTTGGTTTTGCATGAGATCAGGAGCAACAACTGCAGTTATTACAATTCACATAAGGTCACCAGCTGATGTTTATGCTGCGTATGTGGAGCTTCATGCCAGCTGACAGCGGCGTTATGAAAGTGTGTTTTTGTACCTTTTTCCTTTGCTTGTTTTTCACACATTTCAGGTGCAGTTTTGTCTTCTGTCGTCCCCCCTTACAGTCCACTGCACTTTTTATTTCCTCCTTTTGCTGTCGCCGCTCAGCCGACGCGACTAAAGTTTTGACAGTTTTCCTCTCGTTAAAAATTTAATTAACGTCTCCGGAACGCTGACGTGTTTTCATTTCGCCGCCGACATGAGCTGGCCTCTAACTTTTAGCAACAGGGAGACACATGTGATCGCAGCCTCCGTCTGTCTGCCTTTCCCTGCTGTTTTTTTAATGCCGGTTTCTGTCCCGTCCACATGGGAGTCTGTCTGTTCTCCTGCTCTTAATTATGCCTGGACTGTGGCCACGCTCTCAACTCAGTCCCCGGGTGTGTGACTCTGAATCGGGCACACTGCTATTTAAAGGCTTATGGCGTCCAAGAAAAGCGAATCAGCTCGTACGTTTAATCTGCCGAGCTGCAGATTGAGCCCAAATCTGGGCTGATGTGGAGTTAAGAAAGAGGCTGCTGGGTTTCCTTGATGTCGCTTTGGTTTTCGTTGAACACAGCAGGAGCCGTTCTTTCATACTTAGAGCCTCAGAACTCATTGGAATCCACGAATGCTGCAGCATTTCTCCTGCATCGCGTTGCAGCGCAAGGAGCTGCATGTGTTGGATTGATTTCTAGTTGCTTGAGATTTATGTGACGCCGGCTTCATGAGAGTTGCAGCGGAAGCAACAAAAGCTCTGCAGGTTAAGTTTGACTGTTGTATTCACACACAAGACGCATGTTTTTGTCTACACGTTGTCTCTTATGAGCTGAAAGTGACTCATTTTTTAAAAGGTAAAACAAACAGCTCTGTTTACTCACTGTCGGCTCATTTTTCCCTCTAATATAAAATCTTGCAGCTGAGTGGAAACGGCACAACCAGAGCACAACAAAAGCATTCTTTGGATTATTTATTTTACAGAAAATGAGAAAAAATAAACCTGAAATCAACATTTACAGCATTTTTTCAATACTGGAGAGAAAACAACACATGCTATACGTGTTTTAATGCTCAGATTTTTTATGTTTCTGGACTAAACAGCTGAGAAGTCCCTGAATTTTTTATCGTGTGACTGTTGGTGGAAACTGAAGGTCTAGTGAATCCAGTTTTTGAGACGTGGAGTGTTATTTATGTTAATATTATGGCAATCGTTGGGTTTTTACATACTGTGTGGCCACAACTAATCCATTTATTGTGTCTCTGTTGTTTTATTTATTGAGATATTCAGATGGCTGGTGACTGTGCCTATAAAAATTTTAAAACACACCCGCAAACTCCCTGAATTTTTGTCACGTGACTGTTGGTCGCATTTGAGTCTCTAATGGCTTCACAGTTGTGTCGGAAAGCGCAGAATTTTTAGTTTTTTACAGAATTTGATTCAAGCAAATGATTTATTTTTGGCAAATTTTTGCGATTTCGATGAAATGTCACGACTAAATGCCACATGATTCGCTCAAGGACGGCCAGAAAGTTGGATCCTCTCTGTTTTTCCAGTTTGCTGCTTTGATAAACGGTGTAATTTGAGTGATTTTGCAAAAATGGCTTTCAAAGTCGCCAGTGGTGTTTGGGGATCAAACGGTTCACATCTCCTCAGTTCCTCTGATTCGTGTTGATAACAGGACGGATGATTAACAGCCAACAAAGTAGAAAAATAAACCTCTCGACATACTGCAGTCTGAACTTCGCAGTTGCTCGAGAGCAAACATTTTATCATGTAGCTCGTCTCAGACTGTTGAACAGGCTGCGACCAGAAAATATAATCAACTTACTTTCCTCTTCTCTGTGTTGGAATTCAGGCTGCAGCGCTGCTGAAGCGTCAAATCTACCGCCTGCAGTTCCTCCACAGAAATGTCAAATTAGACGTGCTAAATGGAGCACATCAGTTATTGCCTTCCATTGTGTTCAGGCCATGATGCTTTTCCACTTTGCTCTCATTTAGCCCATTAAAAGCAGGAGAGTGATAGACGTGAGCGGGGAAATATCAGAAGCTGCAGACGTGGAAACCGAAAA